ACCAGCTAAGACCAGGCTGGAAATGGCTGGAAACCAGCCTGGAAGTGGCCAAAACCCCTCTAAAACCAGACTTGTCGACCAGCTAAAACCAGCCAACCAGCCAACCATCCTAGGCTGGTTTAAGATGGATTTTTCAGCAGGGTACATATAATATAATAATAATAATATATGTCAGCAATAAAACAGCAAAGAAAAACCTCCATCCTGAGGCTGCAAGTGACATTAACTAACATTAAATCATTAAAAACCACAGAGATCAAGCAAAAAGTCGCTGCCATTTAAAAAGCTCCTCACTCCTCAAGTGTCTCTCATTTGGAAAGGACAAACAGTATTTCCAACAGGAACAATTTATACTCTGTTGTTTCTTTGTGTCAAACAAATCCTCATGAGCAATTTGTCCAATTAGAGCAAAGTCAAGCTCAAGCCTACCATTAGGTTTGGTTGTCAACATGCTCATAAACATTGGTGTGGAGCGTCTAAAATCAGCACAGACTGCAGAGGCTTTTTGGGGTCAAGAATGGCAAAATCTGCAGATTTAATCACAATCAAGCGGAAGTTCTGTTTAGTGTTTTCAGGTACACCGGGATCTGACTGTATAGATGACGAGCTCTTCATTTTCAGAAGCTTTCTAAAGCATTGCGTTTGGTTTCATTTTATAGGTGATTTACTTCTGTCCGCTAATCTGTTGTAATTAATTACGGATTTCAGTAGGTTTAGAGATGCTCTTCTGCTGTTTGAGTTACTGTTGCCTTTCTGTAAGCTGGAACCAGTCTGGCCATTCTCCTCTGACCTCTGGCATCGACAAAGCATTTGCACCCACAGAACTGCCACTCACTGGATATTTCCTTTTAGTCGGAGCATTCTCTGTAAACCCTAGAGATGGTTGTGCGTGAAAATCCCAGTAGATCAGCAGTTTCTGAAATACTCAGAGCAGCCCGTCTGGGACCAACAACCATGCCACGTTCAAAGTCACTTAAATCCTCTTTCTTTCCTCGCTTTGAACTGCAGCAGATCGTCTTGATCATGTCTACATACCTAAATGCATTGAGTTGCTGCCATGTGATTGGCTGATTAGAAATTTGCGTTAACCAGCAGTTGTACAGGTGTTCCTAATAAAGTGGCCGGTGAGTGCATGTTTAATGTGGCTTCCCTTGTAATTGTCCTAAAGTTTTCTCAAATAAACTCTGTAATATCAGGCATCTTTTAGCTCTTGCTAGAGTTCTTCTTTAGGTTTAGAGTGTCTTATCTTTCTTTTTCTCTCCAGGTGTTCTCATACAGCCTCTATAATGTTCACATCTGGACCCTATGGAGGCCATTGCATGACTCTTTGTGTTCAATCAGCTGTTTTCTTTCTTCAGATAGGATTTTACTGCTGTTAGCAGATTATTATCATGCTGTAAATGAAAACTATTACAGCTGATATCTTAAAACAGTTAAACCAAAATAATCCAGCATCAACAGCCTGAGGGATCAAGACATCTGTGCTGCCCATTACATTACAAACCACAGCAGAGGGACAATTCTCCAGCAGGATAGCGCTCCTGCTCATACTTCAGCCTCCACATCAAAGCTCCTGAAAGCAAAGAATGTCAAGGATTGGCCAGCCCAGTCACCAGACATGAACATTATTGAGCATGTCTGGGGTAAGATGAAGGAGGAGGCGTTGAAGGTGAATCCAGAGTCTTGATGAGCTCTAGGAGTCCTGCTGAACGCTTTCTTCTTCATTCCAGATGACTTTATTAATCAGTGATTTGAGTCATGTCAGAGATGTATGGATGCAGTCCTCCAAGCTCATGATGGAGTCAGACACAATATTCATTCTGTCTCCACTGCAGCAGGACTTTATATTCTATACTGGACATTATTTCTGTTCAGTGATGAGACTTTAGTCTGAGCAGAGTCAGATCTTACTGTCCTAATCAAATCATTAATAATCAAGGCATGATCAGATTTTATTGTGCTCAAATAAGCGTCATCTAGAGGCCTTTACCTTTCATATATGCCACTTCTGATACCAAATGATCAACTAGAAGTCGAGTTATTATTTGCTGTTCCTAAAACTTGGATAGGAGACAAGTATTGTGAGGTAGTGTATAGCAATTTTACCATCAGTAGAGGGATTTAATGTTGGCCTGAAATTTTGCACAGTGCTGTATATTTATCTAACAAAAAGCCTTCTGTTTCTCTGAATTGATTTTTCCATAACTGCTGACTATATTTACAGTATAAGTGCAGGGTTCAACGCTAAGGATTTTTTCTACTGGTCCGATTGGGCCAGTGGTTTAGATTTTCACTTGCCCTACCAAATTTTCACTGGCCCCACCAAAAAAAAGGGAAGTTAATAGCTATTTTTTGCCACATATTTTAAATAATGTGTCAAAAATAAAGTGAATCTAGAATTGCAATACTTAAAAGCATGTTAATAAAAGTGTTTCAAAACAAAAAGAGCAGGGGAAAATGTGGAGGTATTTTATTGTGGTTCGAAATTATTTAACAAAAGGTGGCCGACTTGTCAAACTGATGGCAAACCGTGCAAAACATCACTTTTTTTCATTTTTTTTAAATCACTTTTGTTTGTTGCATTGTTCACACATAAATGTCTGCTTCCAAGACATTTTCTTTTAGCCTTTTAATTTGATCTTGCCGCCATGTTGCCGTTTCTCCGCTGTACTGGCTGTTATCAGGTTATGGGAAAAAGTTGCATGCTCAAAACATCAAATCAGACAAGAGGAACCAAAAAGCAATATGGTGTTTACGACATCACAGAGAAGGTAGTGTTTAAAGACTAAACTTAAAATGCACGCAATTGACAAATAGTCGCAGACCAATTAAATGTTAGTGACAAGGCAGCACTGTCCCAATCGGGCCACTAATTATCCTGTCTACTGTCCCAAGCGTCTCACACTGGCCCTGGGCCACCGGGCAGTCCTTATTGTTGAGCCCTGAAGTGCATTATAAGTAACAGCTATAACCCCTTAAAACCCCTTAAAAATGTAATTTAATTACAGTAACTTGTCAATTTGTGTCTAATTACACACAACGCTGATGATAATAGACAGCAAATTTCACCCCCCTCCCCAAATAAGAGTCATATAAACCACTGTACGGATTATTTTGGCAACTAAAGCAATCAATCACGGTGACTCAAAAGAAACTAAGCAGCCTGGAGGAAAGAAAGAAAATAATCATGTTTCTGTCTCGTCCTGTAAACACAGTCAACTCATGAACTCAATAAAGTAATATACTAATGTGTTTCCTTTTTTTCCGCATTTGTAGCGACGCTCCTCTCGATTTGAAGGTGAAGGCCAGCATGATCTCCGACATGTTTTCTCTCGTGGGTAAGTTTTCAGTTTTCCCAGGCTCAGACCGCTTCACCTCAGGCTGGAGTTGTAAATGTGCATGTGCGCTCAAATTCTCAGACCTCAGCGCGGCCATAACAGCGTGTTACTCTCTGTGGTTGAGACTCTGGTCATGCGGCTTGCATTTGTTTGGTGTTCAGTAATGGCCGGTTAAGAAGATGGAGTGTCGTTGGTTTATGTAGCCCTGTGATTTCTGACATGTACACTGTAAAAAAATGCAGCGTTCCACACAGTTTATTCTTGTAGTGCTAAGAATTGAATTAATGTAACACATTTAAGTAGATTGAACTTGAAACAATTAAGCTGTCCCAAAAGATTTCCCAATAATTGTGTCGTTTCAGCTCATTTTAAATAAGTTGTTTGAACAAGCAGCACAAATGATTTTTTAACAGTGTAAAACTCAGAATCGCAAATTCACCCATGATTTTTTACATTGAATAATATGTATGAATAAATCAAAAGAAACTAGTGTCTGTGAATATGAAATGTTGAGAACACTGCTTTAAAAATCTGTTAGTGCACTGTAAATAATGCAGGGTTCCACACAATTCATTCATATACACTGAAAACCCTAATAAGTTGACTCAACTAAATTAATTAAATAAAATCGTCTGCCAAAATTTGCATATTTAAGTTTATTCAACTTGCCGGTTTTGTAGACTATATTTAAATTGTTCAGTTTAACAAACTTAGTACTAACTACGGATACTGGAAGCCTGTGCTGGCGTTGCTATCAGTGTGTGAAGAGTGGGGGAAGAGGCTTGCATTGACAATCCAACACAATGGGCAGCACATTGAACACATTTTATAAGTGATCAGAAACTTGTAAATAACTCATGAAAGAATAAACTGACTGTAAAAACAAGCACAACATTGTTTTTCTTGTGAAATTCCCAATAAGTTTGATGTGTCACATGACCCTCTTCCTATTAAAAAATCAAAAGTTGGTTCCAAGATGGCCGACTTCAAAATGGCCACCGTGGTCACCACCCATCTTGAAAAGTTTGCCCCCTCACATATACTAATGTGCCACAAACAGGTCGTTAATATCACCAACCATTCCCATTTTAATAAGGTGTGTCCATATAAATGGCCCACCGTGTATAGTTTGTAAAAGCGCCATAGAAATAAAGATGATTTGAATTGAATGAAATTGAATGATTAAGTGGAGCAAACCCACACACATACAACTTGATCTTCTATTGTTAAATGAATTTGATGAAAAGTGTGCAACGTTTTCACGCCAGAAAGCATGTTTTATGCGAGGATGTAACCATACCTTCCCGGGAGTCTCCCGTATTTTAGACCCATCTCCGGCCACTCTGCCGTTTTGTTGTTTCTCCTGGAAAACTCCCGTAATTTCGCCTCTAAAGCCAACCCCACCCACACGAAACCCGGAGCATAGTACAGTTACGTACCCGTTTCTCAGCTAAGATTCAGACACCTCACCCCCGACATCTCACCCCCTCACAGGTCTCCCAGATTTTCAGAGACAAATGTTGGCAGGTATGGATGTAACTGATATGATATTATATGCTGCAACGGCTCCTTTAAATACGAAATAAATGTAGCGAATTTTGACGCTCTCACCGCCGGAGCTGAATGCAGACAGCATTGTCGCCAGGCAGGCCAGAGTGACCTTTGACGCTCTCACCGCCTTTGGTCTGAACGCATAGTTAGAGAGACCAGCAGGGGGCGCTCAACCTGTGGTCTGTGTGGGTCCGAGTATATTGATGGGGCCTCTATACTGCTCAGTGACATAACATGAAACTATATAAAAATTATTATTATTAATATTATCATGTATCAAAACACGAAATGTTTCAGAGTAACGACACCTTATTTCACATACAGTCGAAGGCAAAATTCGTAGCCCTAATGTGAAATTTTAAGTATAAAAAATCCATGTTCAGTCAATCAAAAAAATGATTGTATTTTTTTCAGTGATGTTTTAATAACTCATTTTTAATAATTGATATCTGTGATATTTGAGCCATGATGACAGTGCGTAATATTTTATCAGTTCTTTTGCTAGACAATATTCAGCTTAACAAATGGTAATACTTTACAACAAGGTTGTTTTACTTAATGTTGCTTCATGTGTTTACTAACATGAACAAACGATGAACAATACATTCATTCCAGCATTTATTCATGTTCGCTCTTTCAGTTAAAGCTGTTCATGTTAACTCGCAGTGCATTAACTAATGTTAACAAGCACTGGTTTAATAATGCATTAATAAATGATATGCTTAATAAACACTAGTTCAGTATACAAGTTCAGTATTAGTTCATGTTAGTTAGCACGTTACTAATGAAACCTTACTGTAATGTGTGATCAAACATTGATAACAATAAAACAAAATACAGAATTGAAGTAAAAAGAATAATAAAGAGTCGCAGCTTTAACTTGGTTGGGCGTCTCCTGCCTCTCTCTCACACTAAATCTGTATTGCCCAAGGATCACAAAACCACTAATAGGACATTGTTGCCTGCTGGTGGTTTGTGTCGCATTTTTCCAGCCCTGCAAATTGTGTAATGATCAAATGTGATCCGGGCTGAAATGCAAGGAATACGCCGCAGTCCTCGGAGTTCCCCGCAGGCGCTGTTGATTAGCGTTAGATGACTTACACGAAGGAATTGTCAACAGAACATTAGACGCTCGCATGAGTCATTGAACTGTCGCCGCTTGGATGAAGAAAATACCTCTGCAGCGCTCATCAAAATAATGATTGCTCAAGGCTAAGTGTTGTTATGCTTACGCAATCAGCTGTCACCCACCCAAACGCTTGTGAATCTGACACTAGAGACAGGAAAGCTTACTGTAATGACTGATCTCGCAGCAGTGATGATTGTGGATCACATGTAGTCCTTTATCTTTTTTATTACGGCAGTGTCAATGGCAAACATAAACTAAAAAAGACAGTTTTGGTGTAACTTAATTTGACACAACTTTTAGTTTGTTTGTATTGCGTTATTTAAACTTATCGGATTGCATTGTTTCAACTTATTTAAGCTGCGTTAGTTCAACTTATTTTTATTGCGTTATTTCAACCTATTTGTATTGCGTTATTTCAACCTATTTGTATTGCGTTATTTCAACCTATTTGTATTGCGTTATTTCAACCTATTTGTATTGTGTTATTTCAACTTATTTGTATTGCGTTATTTCAACTTATTTGAATTCATTATTTCAACTTATTTGAATTGCGTTCTTTCAACTTATTTAAATTGCGTTATTTTAACTTATTTTATTGCGTTATGTGAACTTTTTTGTATAACGTTATTTCAACATATTTGTATTGCTTTATTTCAACTTAATTGTATTGCATTATTTAAACTTATTTAAATTGCGTTATTTTAACTTATTTGTATTGCGTTATATAAACTTATTTGAATTGCGTTATATCAACTAATTTGCATTGCGTTATATCAACTTATTTGAATTATTTCTACTTATTTGTATTGCGTTGTCAACATATTTGTTTTGCGTTATTTCAACTTATTTGAATCGTCTTATTTCAACTTATTTAAATTCCATTATTTCAACTTATTTGTATTGCGTTATTTCAACTCATTTGTTTTGCGTTATTTCAACTTATTTGAATTGTCTTATTTTAACTTATTTGTATTGCATTATTTCAACTTATTGAAATTGCATTATTTCAACTTATTTGTTTTGCGTTATATCAACTTATTTGTATTGTGCTATTTTAACTTTGTGTTGCGTTATTTCAATTTATCAGATTGAGGTATTTCAACTAATTGTATTGCGTTATTTCAACTTATCGGATAGCGTTATTTCAACTTGTATGTATTGCGTTTTTTCAGCTAGTTTGTTTTGCATTTGTTCAACTTATTTAAATTGTGTTATTTCAATTTATCTAATTGCGTTATTTCAACTTAGTTGAATTGCATTATTTCAACTACTTTAAAATGCGTTATTTCAATTTACTGGATTGCGTTATTCCAACTTATTTGAATTGCATTGTTTCAATTGATTTGATTGCATTATTTCAACTTATTTGAATTGCATTATTTCAACTAATTTTAATTGTGTTATTTCAATTTACTGGATTGCGTTTTTTCAACTTTTGTTTTGTGTAAATTTAACTTATTTGAATTGCATTATTTTAACTTATTTTTACAGATTTTCTCGTGGAACTCTGTTAACTATCAGTACAAAAAATTCAGAGGCACAAAACAAATATATATAAATACAGTTTGATCCAGTATTTGGTATTGTTTAATGAATGAGTTTAATAATTATGAGTTTTGTCTGAACTCTAGCTGTTTGTTTTACTTAGGTTTTGTGTGTCAGGATCCTTTATTACGGCAGCCACGCGCTGAGAGAGCTGGGTTTGATCTAAGATTGAAGATTCCCACCCAGAAGCATCAGGTACAAATACTCTACACTTTACCCTTAAGACCCCAAAAACCCCCAAAATCACAGTTTCTTTCCTTAAACATACAGAGTGATGAACTGAGCAACACATCACCATTAGTCCAGTTATTCAGCGCTCTAATTAGTATGATCTCAGCGTGATCTTGTGCAATTTCAAAACTATGATTATTACTTTCCAAAGATGTTGAAAACATGATGCCGCTTTGACAGATTTATTGTATTGATTAGTGCTGCGGCTGCTTTATTTCATTCCTCTGGATTTGAAGCTACACACTTGAATTCTGCTCACTTACTGCTAATATGCTAACGGAATGGAGGATGCTAACATTTTATGAATCTAGATGTGCTTTGACAATACTATATTTTCTGCCATTTAGGCATTAGTACGCGTGGAGCTGTGCGATTTCACTGCAAAATAATAACAATAATATTGTCACTAAAACGAATGATGTTACAACATTTAACTTCGTCTCAGTCAATGAAAACAAACAGACCTTTAGCCTCATTTATATTCCGCAACATTAATGCATTATAAATGTAACTATGGTCATCATCACATGACTAGCATTTACGTCTCGTTTTCGCCATGTGATATTCAGTCAAATTTTTCATTGACAAAAGCAACACTTCAAACACACAGACAGTAGTGATTTTTACATTTATTTGACTTTCAACATAAACATGTATTTCGATTTAGTTTTTTCCACACATTCTCTATTGGAGACAGGTCGGGACTGCAGGCAGGCCAGTCAAGTACCTGTATCCTCTTCCTCCGCAGCATAATATGTATATAATAAAATAATATTTGGGCGGCGCAGTGAGTAGCACGTTCGCCTCACACCAAGAAGGTTGCTGGGTCGCTGGTTCGAGCCTCGGCTCAGTTGGCGTTTCTGTGTGGAGTTTGCATGTTCTCCCTGCGTTCGCGTGGGTTTCCTCCGGGTGCTCTGGTTTCCCCCACAGTCCAAACACATGCGGTACAGGTGAATTGGGTAGGCTAAATTGTCCGTAGTTTGCGTGTGCGTGTGTGTGTGTGTGTATGTGAATGGTTCTCAGAGATGGGTTGCGGCTGGAAGGGCATCCGCTGCGTAAAAACTTGCTGGATAAGTTGGTGGTTCATTCCACTGTGGCGACCCCGGATTAATAAAGGGACTAAGCCGACAAGAAAATGAATGAATGAATATAATATTTGTTGTTTCTAAAACTTGGATAGGAGACAAGACTTTTGTCAGGTAGTGTACACTTGACCATAATCTTTCCTAAATTTCTATTGGTTAATGCAGCGCTGTATTGGAAAATTGTCAAAAGCTGTATGTTAATGAACAAAAGTACAGCATGACCATGTGTTGCAATCCGTTATGTCAGTGCAGGAATCAAATAGTCGATTGTTACGGCGTGCATTTCTTCATTCAGATGCATTTCAGCCTGGTCACTAGATCATGTTATTGGTTCCAAATGGACAAGTTTTGGCCCGCAGGCAGTTGTCAAGTGGGCGGGATGCTCAGCAACCCATCAAACTGCCTGGCAAAAATTGGAGCAGCTGTTTCCTATCAGTATGATGAAAAGGATTTAGGGAATTCCACGGTGGATTTGGGAACGGCTCTCCTCGGCTAACAAACAAGATGTTAAGGAGCTGATTGTTGGCGTTTTTTCAGACCAAAGTAATCGAGCTTGATATCTTTGAGCGCTAGAGGCTCATCTGGAGGTAAACAAGAGTAACCTTTGAATGGCGTCCACTGAAGCTGCAGCTCCTTGGAATTTCTTGGTGTGAACTGAAGCTCCACGGCATGCACATGTGATTTTTCAGCTTTTTTATTTTTAATAAAAATCCGGCCCACTTACATCCGGCCCACATACCATATTGAGTGATGGCACTTGGGCGGTCCGCTTCTGTTTGCCAGATCTGGGCCACAATTAAGCCATAACAATACCACATATCAGCCAGAATTCAACCAAATGAGCCAGAACTGACCCTATTCTGGAACACAGTTTGCTTTTAATCTGGCCCAGATCCGGCCCACACCAGACACTGACATCTGGACCACATACTGAATGGAATGATGGCTCTAGGGCGGTCCGCTCCTGTTTGTCACATCTGGGCCACAAATAGGCCAAAGCAATACCACATATCAGCCAGAATTCAACCAAATGAGCCAGAACTGACCCTACTCTGGGCCCCAGTTTGCTTTTATTCTGGCCCAGATCTGGCCTACACCTTACACTTGCTGGGTGTGGCAAAGTACAACAATCCCAGCATGCATTGCGGTATGAATACATTCTACAGCAGGGATGTTAAACTCAATTCCTGGAGGGCCGCAGCTCTGCACAGTTTAGTTCCAACTCTAAACACACCTGATCAAACTAATTGAGTCCTTCAGGTTTGTTTGAAACCTCCAGGTAAGTGTGTTGGAGCAGGGTTGGAACTAAACTGTGCAGAGCTGCCGCCCTCCAGGAATTGAGTTTGACACCCCTGCTCTACAGCTTACTGATGCTCCAGTTTTCATTATTTGCTGTTGATTCTGCCTTTTATGTGGAAGTTGCTGATTTTGGCACCTGTAGTCTCCTGTTTGTGATGTTCTTGAGTTCTGTTCATTTTGTTAATTGTCACCATTGTTGATGTCTCTGTGAGCAAAAGTTGAACCATAGAATTGTTTGCTTATAAACCTTCATAATTCTGTGGCATGTGCAAGCATGTTATTACGTTACTTCTATTAATGTATTAAACATTGGTGAACATCAGTGAATTATATTATTTCATCCCCAGGTTGTGCCTCACTTAATTTTATTTTATTATATTTTATTTATTTATTTTTACTTGGCTTGTTTGTTGTAATGAATAAACTTTTCTAGTTCTTGAAAGTTACAGCAAGTTCAGGGCTATGAGCCCAACTAAAGCAAACACTTTTCTCTATGATGGTGACTTTAGTCTATGTGGCCCACATATGTTTTAAGATAACTGGGCCACATATACCATATCTTCACTGGGCCAATATAGGCTCAATTGCACATTAGCCAGAGCTTACTGTGCTGAATATTTGCCAAAAGTGGCCCACATATGTTTTAAAATAACTGGGCCACATTTGCCATATCTTCTTTGGGCCACTATAGGCTCAAATCCACATTAGCCAGAGTTTACTTTGCTGAATATTCAGCAAAAGTGGTCCACTTATGTTTGAAGATAACTGGACCACATTTTCTATATCTTCTCTGGGCCACTATAGGCTCACAGCCGCAATAGGCAGAGCTAACTGTGCCAAATATTCGCCAAAAGTGGCCCACATATGTCTTAAGATAACTGGGCCACATTTGCACCTACACATGTGAGCCACTTTGGGTTTAGACCCAGATTACCCTTAAATGACTGCCACATTTTTGCCAGCTGTGGCCCACATTTGTCCTCCGTCATTTGGGCCAAATTTATCATCCTCCACATGGGCCACATTAGGCTCACATTCAGATAACATTTTGCCATAAGTGCCAAATCTTTGCCTTAAATGGCCCATATATGAATTAGAATCTTTGCCATTGTACAGGTGGGCCACTTCAGACTCAAATTCATTTTGTCTGTCGCCAAAAGTGGCCCACATATGTTTAACGATATCTGGGCCACATTTGCCATATCTTCTCTGGGCCACTATAGGCTCAAATCCACATTAGCTAGAGCTTAATGTGCCGAATATTTTGCCAAAGGTGGCCCACTTATGTTTGAAGATAACTGGGCCACATTTGCCATGTCTTCTCTGGGCCACTACAGGCTCAAATCCACAATAAACAGAGCTAACCATAACGAATATTTGTTAAAAGTGGCCCACATATGTCTTTAGATATCTGGGCCACATTTGCATTTACACATGTGAGCCACTTTGGGTTTACACCCATATTACCCTTAAATGACTATGCCGCATTTTTGCCAGCTTTGGCCCACATTTGTCCTCCATCATGGGCTCACATTCAGATTACATTTTGCCATAAGTGCCAAATCCTTTCCTTAAATGGCCCATATATGAATTTGAATCTTTGTCATTGTACAGGTGGGCCACTTCAGGCTCACATTCAATTTGTCTGAGCCGAAGGAAGACCACTTATGTTTAAAGATAACTGGGCCACATTTGCCATATCTTCTCTGGGCCACTATAGGCTCAAATCCACATTAGCCAGAGCTTACTGTGCCGAATATTTGCCAAAGGTGGCCCACTTATGTTTGAAGATAACTGGGCCACATTTGCCATGTCTTCTCTGGGCCACTACAGGCTCAAATCCACAATAAACAGAGCTAACCATAACGAATATTTGTTAAAAGTGGCCCACATATGTCTTTAGATATCTGGGCCACATTTGCATCTACACATGTGAGCCACTTTGGGTTTACACCCAGATTACCCTTAAATGACTGCCACATTTTTGCCAGCTGTGGCCCACATTTGTTCTCCATCATTTGGGCCAAATTTATCATCTTCCTCATGGGCCACATTAGGCTCACATTTAGATAACATTTCGCCATAAGTGCCAAATCTTTGCCTTAAATGGTCCATATATGAATTTGAATCTTTGCCATTGTACAGGTGGGCCACTTCAGACTCAAATTCAATTTGTCTGGGCCGAAGCAAGACCACTAAGGCCACGTAACCGCCTGAAGTGGCCCACATTTGTATGCTATCTGGGCATTATGGGGTATTGTGTGTAGAATGTTTAGGAAATAAGTTAATTTAATCAATTTTGGAATAAGGCTGTAACATAAACAAATGTGGAAAAAGTGAAGCACTATCAATACTTTCCGGATGCACTGTATCTAAATATTCTTGAATCAAGAAGCATTTTCTAGATTTCAAGCAAAACCTATTGTCTTGTTTTTAGAAAAAATATGTCAAATGAAGTGAGTTTTTCCATAAAACAAGCAAAATAATCCTGTGTCAAAACGAAAAAACTAAATCTTATTAATAATAATATTAAATATAATAATTTTATAGTCTAGAAAACACTTCTTTATTTAAGGATTTTGTAGATATTTGAACTGGAAACAAGACACAAAGCATTTATTTGCAGTGTTTCAGTAGCAAATGTGCAGCTGTGTGTGTAATGCTGGCCTGTTCTCTCCGCAGCGTCAGAGACCGGCGTCCAGCAGCAGTGCTGACCCACAGACTCAGAGGGAGAAACACGGCTGTAAACACACAGACGACACGCTGAGTCTGTCAGCAGAGGAGGTCAGAGGTCGTCCGTCACCGCTGCTGCTGTTTTCAGCGCTCGTGCCAGATTCTTGATGCTTCTTGGCTGCTCCTCACGTATTTGATAGTGAAGAGTGTGCTTTATTGTGTCTCCTGCACAGATGAAGGTGCTGAGGAGGGTCCAGGAGGAGTATGAGCGCAGGGGGGGATTCATACGCATCTTTCCCACTCCAGACACCTGGGAGATTTACAGGTGAGAGGACCACTGACATGACAGACGGACGGACAGACAGACAGACAGACAGACAGACAGATAGATGGATGGATGGATGGATGGATGGATGGATGGATGGATGGAGGGATGGATGGATGGATGGATGGATGGATGGATGGATGGAAGGAGGGAGGGAGGGAGGGAGGGATGGATGGATGGATGGATGGATGGATGGATGGATGGATGGATGGATGGATGGAGGGATGGATGGATGGATGG